TGAGCCACACTCTCTCTTGGCTTCACCGTCCTGTGGAGTAGACACTCAGAAAGCTGGAGGAGACAGCACTGAGATGCTTCCACTGGCATTAGATCCACAAGACTTTCTACCCACCGGCCTGTGATCTTCCTTCATTTAGCATCATTGCATGTGCTGTGTAAGTCTGAAGAGGAATTCATGGGCTAGTATTGGATATATGTGCTACTATCAGACTTAGGGATTTGATCTGGACTGGGATATACAACAAACTGCTCTTTTATATGAAGCTCTCTCTTACACACTTGAGTGTCTCTGAATTTGTTTTTCTAGTCAACTTGGCCTAACACAGCAGGTGTACCCCCGTGTCTCCCCACTAGCAATGTCTAAATATTACGGTCACTCTACACCCTTACTAGCATTGGGTAGTGTAATACTATTACTTTAGCCATTCGAGAGAGGGTGTGGAGGTACGTCATACTAACTTTATTTTGAATTTTCCCAATAACTAACAAAGGAGGTTTAGTGGCTGCCAGGTGAGATCAGCAGGTAGAACACACCCACAGCTCCCGGAGACAAAGGAAAGAGCAGCAGTAGCCTTCCAAAACCATGGCAGCCTTGGAAACCCTGCTCTGCCCTTTGGTTCGCTATGAGTTGGAATCCACTCAATGGCCCAGGTTTAAGGGCTAACAATGGGGCACCGCTGCCTTTATGTGCACCAGTCCAATGGGAAGCCATTTCACCTGTGACACGCCTTTTCTTTTCCACGGAGCAAAAAGTCGTGTCGTCTGGTCAGTACCAACAGTGATGATAAATTCTCCTTCTGGATCCCACATCATGTCTTGAACACCATCAAAGTGTCCTGAAATTATAATCTCCGGAGTCCACTCTTTCTGCAATGGAAGCATTGTAACGCATGTCATTTTAAGACCAGCACTACTTAAAGCATTCATGTTTCAGAATGGGAAAGACTGAATCCCCTGCCAAGATGAAAAACTAAGCATGAGATAAAAAATATTGGGGTTTTGAAATAATAGGATCCACTGTCCAACTGAGACACTAGAACTTGAACACTTACGAGATATAGCCCTAGGAAATTTTCCTGTTTCAACATTATTGAATGTGTCCTAGAGCTAGCTAGACACTCCATAACCTCTTTGTGCCTCAATGAACATGCTTGCAAAACAGAAATCACA